GCAACTTAGGCAACGGTCCACCACACAGCTCCACTCGGAAATTCAGGCATTCCTCACACATGCATTCCTAAGGACTATCGCCTTTATGCCTGCTTTCCTGGGAAATGACTCCACCTATCCTTGGGCCCAGTCTCCAGGCCTGCCCAACAGCAGATTCTAACTAGGGTAACTTCTTGGCCAGAGGAAACATCTTGTGATTACTTGACCAGAAGTCACTGCAGTACGCAGCACGCATTTCCACCTGAGAACACAGTCGAATCAGTGGACTGTGGAGCACATCCCGCAACCCCACTGACATCAGATCAAAGGTCCTGGGTCACCTACCCAACAACAACGCAACACAAGCACTGGCTGGCAGGGTCAACACCAGCCGGCTCTCCCAGAATGTAGGCTACAGTACATGATCTGTCGCTGCCAGTAGAGGGGGCTAATTCCACAGAAAGCAACGCAGAGACACTTAGGAAGAATCAGGGAAACGTGACAGCTTCAACAGAGATGCATCAAGTTCCAATAATGCACCCAAAGACGTGAAAATATGGAGTGACTGAAAAAGAATTCAGGATAATGCTCAAAAAGAAGATCAGCAAACTAAGAATTTACTGATAGAGATTTTAGTGATTTTGAAAGGCAATACGTGGCCAGCACTGCGGCTCACTAGGCTAATCCTCTGCCTGTGGCGCCGGCACCCAAGGTTCTAGTCCCGGTCGGGGCGCCGGATTCTGTTCCGGTTGCCCCTCTTCCAGGCCAGCTCTCTGCTGTGGCCCGGAAGGGCAGTGGAGGATGGCCCAAGTGCTTGGGCCCTGCACCCGCATGGGAGGCCTGGCTCCTGGGTTTGGATCGGCGCAGTGCGCCAGCTATGGCAGCCATTTGGGGGTGAACCAATGGAAGGAAGACCTTTCTGTCTATCTCTCTCTCTGTCTAACTCTGCCTGTCGGGAAAGAGAGAAAGAGAGAAAGAGAAAAAGAGAGAAAGAGAGAAAGAGGAAGGCAGGCAGGCAGTTGGACAAATGAAAACAACAAAAACCAGGTCTTTGCTAAAAATCATTACCTTGAATGTAGTTTTATTAAATTCCCAATAAATGGCATAAAGTAACTAAATGAATTTTTAAAAACAAAGTCTCAACAACATACACCTCCCCCAGAAAAGACTCCCCATAATTTTAGACACACGTGGAATGAAAGAGAAAGGAAGCCATCCTCTGATGCCTCCCTAGGCACATTATCAAAGAGCTAGATCAGAAGCAGCACTCCAACATAGGATACTGGGATCACAAGTGCTGACTAAATCCACTGTGCCTCAACACTGGCTGCCTTTTGATTTTTTTTTTAACAAAGGTAATCAAAGTAATAAACCATATAAATAAATGAAAAGTATAAAACCATGAATATACTCCATAGGCACAAAAAAGGTATTTGACAAAAATCCTAAATTCATCCTGAATAAAGACTTGCAGCAATCTAAGAAGAAAAGGGAAATTTCTCAACCTGATAAAGGTTATCTTGGAAAAACCCACAACAAATACACTTAATGATGGACAACTCAGTGTTTTGCTCCTGACCACAAACAAGTCAAGGAAAATTACTCTAACCATTTCAATTCAACATTATTCTGCAGGTTCTGTCCAGTGCAATCAAGCAAGAAAAAGAAATAAAAGCAATCCATATTGCAAACAAAAAGAGCTAACATCAGCAACTGATAACACGACACTATCATGACCCACAAGGTCAGAATGTCTGGGCTCCCAGCATTTGAATCTTCATAGCAACATTCCTCATTGCCAGATATAGAAACAGCCCAGACGTCCACCAATAGATGAAGGATGAACAATGTGGTAAATCCATGCATGAAATCCGACTCAACCAGAAAAAGGAATGAAGTGCTGACTCAGGCTACAGCATGTATGAAACTAACTGAAAGCGGTTAACCTTAAGGGTCCACATGTGGTGTGATTCCATGTCTGTGAAACCACCAGACTAGTCTAATCCACAGAAAAGAAATTAACCAATGTCCAGAGCTGGAAGAATGAGAGTAAACGCAGTGACTGCCATAGGTATGAGGTCTGCTTTGAGTGTGAGGAAAATCATCTTGAATTGGATAGTGGTGATGATGGACCATACCTGTGAAAATACTAACAGACACTGATTTGTGCACTTCATTTATTTTTAAAGATTATTATTTATTTGAAAGAGTTATACAGAGAGAGAATGAGAGGCAGAGAGAGATGTCTTCTATCTGCTGGTTCACTCCCCCGTTGGTCACAATGGCTGGAGCTGCACGGATCCGAAGCCAGGAGCCAGGAGATTCCTCCAGGTCTCCCACATGGGTACAGGGGCCCAAGCACTTGGGCCATTCTCTACTGCTTTCCCAAGCCATAGCAGAGAGCTGAGTCAGAAGAGGAGCAGCTGGGACTTGAACCGGTGCCCATATGGGATGCCAGCACTGCAAGTGGCAGCTTTACCCATTATACCACAGTGCTGGTCCCGACTTGTGCATTTTAAAAGGGAGAACTTTATGGTGTGTGGATTATATCTCAATGTTTTAAAAAAGAACAACTGGGTTAGAATCCTGACACACTCACATGGGCAGTCACTCTTCCTCTGGATATCTCCATTTCATCTTCAAATTGGGTATACCATTAGAGCTGACCTACACACAAACACTTAGGGCAGCACCTGGCATGTGGGAAGCAGAGACACTCATTTATGCCAGCTTTTCTGGAATATTTCACTTGTAAGTTCTTCCTAATGGGACACACCACATATCTGGAGGTTCAATAATTTGTGGGAGGCTTGCAACAGCAGGAGAGTATTAACATCTGGCCATAGTATTTTGAAGACAACCTGAATGCATAGTGTCGCTCCCCGTCTTCGTGGAGGAACGACACAGGACCCTGCGCTGTTCTTTTGTCTGCTCGGCCCTCCCCGGGTTTGCTGCTGGTTCTTCCCGGGTTGGCTACTGTCCCTTCCACCTCCATGGAAGGGCGGTTCCCCCTGGCCACTTTCCCCACTTCCGCGGGGGAGCGGCACACCGCCGGCCGGCTCTCTCGGGGGCTGCTCAGATGTTCCTCAGGTGTTCCTGGTGCATGTTGTCTCTCTCCTCCTTTATAGTCCTCTTCCGCCAATCCCAACTCTGCTACCCACACACCGAGTACGCTGCTCTCCTCCAATCAGGAGCAGGTCCTACAGTTTATTGGTTGAACTGGAGGCAGCTGTGTAGAAGCTGTTTCTCCCTTCTCAGCGTCATTTTGTGGGAGAGCAGATGCATAGAATAAGTCTTAATTCCAGTAACAGTCTAGTCCGAGTTGCTCCCCACACATAGTTGGTTTTATTCAACAATATGGATGTTGGAAATAACTGTGCTAGAAAATGGATATCGCCCACCCAATTAGGCTGTTGCTAATTCACTGCTTCCAGGCACTGTACATGCATAACTGCATTCAATCTGAATGTCACCTCTGAGTTGTCACACAGAGTTTAATCCCCATGTGACTGATTAAGAAGCTGAGGTTCTTACCCCAACGTTATCCAATTGTCAGAACTTGGGTGTGTATGAACTCAGCTCTGGATTGTGCCAGAATACTCAAATACCAAATAGACCCACTAACTAATTTTGTCTGGACTCAAAATGTCAAAATCCTGACTCAGAGCAAACTCCTCAGACTTGTCATTGATTTCCAACACCTTCTACACACAACTTAGGCAGACAGAATCTCTTTGGTTCTGAATCTACCTGTGTAGCTGTGCTTTATCTAAGAGCCTTCTTTCTTTCTTTCCTTCTTTCTTTCTTTCCTTCTTTCCTTCTTTCCTTCTTTCCTTCTTTCCTTCCTTCTTTCCTTCCTTCTTTCCTTCCTTCCTTCCTTCCTTCCTTCCTTCCTTCCTTCTTTCCTTCTTTCCTTCTTCTTTTTTTTTTTTTTTTGACAGGCAGAGTTAAACAGTGAGAGAGAGAGACAAAGGTCTTCCTTTTCCATTGGTTCACCCCCCAAATGGCTGCTACAGCCGGCGTGCTGTGACAATCCGAAGCCAGGAGCCAGATGCTTCCTCCTGGTCTCCCATGTGGGTGCAGGGCCCAAGCACTTGGGCCATCCTCCACTGCACTCCCAGGCCACAGCAGAGAGCTGGACTGGAAGAGGAGCAACCGGGACAGAATCCAGCGCCCCAACCAGGACTAGAACCTGGGATGCCAGCACCACAGGCAGAGGATTAGGCTAGTGAGCCGTGGTGCCAGCTTAGGGCCCTCTTTGAGACCTGAATTTATCTTCAAGAATTTTGCCTGCTTGATGCTTTATGTTTACAAATAAAATATGTAACTATACTGCCTTACAAATATAAAACCTAATAAAATATATATATCCCTTAATAGATACATAAAACTATATGTTCACATGTTTGTAGATATATATGTATATATATATATATTTATATTTATAAAACCCAACATACAAAAGACTGTATAGTCTGGTGTACTTCATATATTATGGATATCATGGCAGAATCTGCAGTACAAAGTCATAAGTAAACCCGTGAGCCACACTGAACTCAGTGCTGGTTCAGAAACATGCAGGGCCCCACCCTTGAGTAGAGGGAAAAGTACAGACAACACCCAGGTGGTGCTTAGTGCTGTGTTGATAGAGAGTAAAGGAGAGAGAAAGCCTTTGAACAGGCCCAGCCTCCTAGAATTGTGCAACTTGCAATTCTTACCTAGTCATGCCGAGAGCAGAAAGTCAAGCCCTATTTCAACAGACCTAAAACCACACTCCTACGGCAGGCATTGTGGCGTCGCAAGTAAAATCGCCTCCTGTGTTGCCAGAATCAAATACAGGCCACTTGGAGTGCCATCTGCTCCACCCTTCCACCCATGTGGGAGACCTGAAGAAGCTCCTAGCTCCTGGCTTCAGACAAGCCCAGATCCTACTATTACAGCCATTTGGGGACTGAGCCAATGGATGGAAGCTCTATCTTTGTAACTCTGCCTTTCAAATAAATTTTTTTAAAAATCTTTAAAAAAAAAAACCCTGCAATCTCACTACATTTTTAGAACAAGCATTATTTCACATTCCCATCAGCTGGCTGGAACAATACTGTAACCAAATGTGCAACATCTGAGAGAATATGACTCAGTTATAAGGTGTACTGAACAATTCACAGTGCATCCTTAACAAAATGATGTACTGATACAACACATCAGATGTTTCACCAGAATTTAACAATGATACATATGTAAGAATCCAATTAGTGCATCTGTCAGGCCTACTTCAAGGGTGGGAGTCCCGGCACAGCTGGTTGAGCTGCTGCTTGGGACACTTGCATCCCATGTTGGCAACGCTGCTTCCTGTTAGTGCATCCTGGGAGGCAGCAGCTGATGGCTCAAATGCTTGCCCCCCCCCCATGTGGGAGACTCATATGGAGGCAGCAGGTGATAGCCAAGCTTTTGGGTGCCTGCCACCCATGGGAGAGACCCAGATTGAGATCTGGGCTTCTGGTTTTGGCTTGGTCCAGCCTCAGCTCTTGTGGACATTTGGGGAGTGAAGCAGAAGATGAAGTATGCTTACACAGGGGAACAAGGTCGTGCAAGGAGCGAGGTTTCGTGTGGTTCCGCCATTTCTCCTTCTGCGGTCTCTGTGCCTCGCGCAGAGCTTCCAGCCGCGTCATGTTGGGACAGAGCATCCGGAGGTTCACAACCTCCGTGGTCCGTAGGAGCCACTATGAGGAGGGCCCAGGGAAGAATTTGCCATTTTCAGTGGAAAACAAGTGGAGGTTGCTAGCTATGATGACCTTGTATCTTGGATCTGGATTTGCTGCCCCTTTCTTCATAGTACGGCACCAACTGCTTAAGAAATAGGATGTTTTAGGTCATCCGTTTAACAGATAACAGCATTTCAAGAGGTTCAGTCTCTGGAAAATGGATCAAACTCTTGAACTCATAGCATACTAGATATGTTTGTAAATAAACTTACGACTTGAATGCTGAATGCCTCTTCTCATATATAGGGAATGTGATAATTGAGCGTGTGCTTGCTTTATGATTTGGATAATATTCCAGTATTAGTTTCTTAATCAAGATGTGTATGATTCAGCTTGTTATGTGATCTATTTATTTAATTTTTGCTCTTTTGGATTAAGACATTGTGGAAAATTGATGATATAAAAGAAATGCCAAGTTATCTATTGTCTATAACTTTCTTTTAAAGGGAGAGAAAAGATTTAAGAGCTTCATTTTTTTCTCAGGCCTATAGCATTAAAGCTGAAATTTTTGGTCTGATAATGGTACTGCTGACCAATATTAATCTTGTTGAGGCTGAATAAAAGTATTTAAAATGGAAGCATATACTGTAGGAAGTATTCCAAACTTACTATGGAGTTTGACTAGTAGCAAGAGGATAAAAGATAACAGTTGAATTATGCTTTAAAATCTTAAGGGCCTAATTTGTAGGGCTTTGTTTTAGGCAGGGGAAAGTAATTCGCAATTGAATATTTTAATAGTTTGGTTGCTTCTAAAATAAGATGGATGAATAATGTAAAGCAGATTATAAACTGGTAGTCTCTCTGGCTTCCAGATTTTGGTGAGAGGATGCTATATGTTTCTAGATAACATGTATTTCTGGATTCTTGAACAATTGCTCAGTGTGGTTCCAAATCATTTGATAGAACAAAATAGGTGCCTACACAGCACTTATAATGTTAGGCATCCTCTTAGCCTTAGTGTAAAACCACCTGATTTGCTAAAACTTGAAATTTTTATTCTGTTTATATGCTAGTGCCTGTCTTTAGACTCCTTAACAGCCTGCACTTGTGTGTCAGTTTGTTTTGATTAAGTAATCATAAATCTAATATCATGGTTGGGAAAGTTTTCCTATGAGACAGTAAGATTTCTTACCTTTGGAAAAAGTAGAAGCAAGAATAAGACTGTAGGATTGATAAAATGATCTTGTGATTTCAAATCTTTGCTCTATAATTAAACTACAAATTTAGCCAAAAAAAAAAAAATGAAGTATATCTCCACCTCTCTACCTTATAGAAAAAATAAATTTTTAAACCACTAAAAGATTTTTTTTATCACTTTAGAGGCAGCCAGAGACTGAAAGACAGAGAGAGCTCCCATACATTTGTTCACCCCCTAAATGCCCAAAATGACTGGGCCAGATTGAAGCCAGGAACTGAGATCTCAATCCAAGTCTCTCGCATAGGCAGCAGAGACCCCATCATCTGAATCATCATCTACTGCCTTCCACGGTCTGCATTAGCAGGAAGCAGGAACCAGGAGAGGGCAAGGATCACAACCCAAGTGTGTAGATCGGAGATGCAGGCATCCCAACAGACAACAGAAGATGTAGGACTCAAGCCTGCCCTGTAAGAGACTTTTTGATAAGGGATATCATGGACTTAGAGAAAAGAAAAGTTTCATTTACCCTTTGTTTCTCACTGTTCTTCCCAGAGTATTTCATATAAAATCACTGTAGACACATATTAAGGAGGCAGCATTATTAACCCACAAGTAAATGAACTGTCACCATCTAACTCGTTAAATCATTCCAGATGCAACAAAGGTGACTAACACATCACAGCTGAGTGAGGAATCTTACATTCACTATGCAAAGGGAGATTATTCTACAGGACAGAGCTCACCTTCGACAAAGGTTTCCCCTGCTGGCAGTTGATGCCACCCACGAACACCATGTTGGGCATTATGGGTTTGGGATAGTCCAAAATAAAGTCAGTCCGTAACAACCAAATCGATGTGTGGCTGAAGAGATCATAGGGTGTGACAGGAGCCTGGAGAACTTCAGAAGCAATGTCTAAGGTCTTTTTCAAAAAATAGCGGCAAAATAAATGCTCCTCCACGTGAAATATGTAGTTCTTTACTCTCTCCTCGAAAGTCATGACGTCTGAAAACCCCAACAAATTTCTGGGGACATAAGAAGGAGGACTGGGGCACTGTGCAGCTTCCTCAAGATGATGGCAAAATACTCCCCTGGTGAACACCACGGAAGGGAGTGAAAAATATTTGGCAACAATTAAGCCACACATATCAAAAGGATCCAGAAATACTGCATCAAAAAAACTATCTTTTAAATATTCCACTAATTTCTTATCATTAAACAAGCTACTACAATGTGAAAATTTCAGGTCAAAAAATTTTGTGGTTGAGGTCGTAAATGCAGAAATTAAACTTTGCTCTCGAATTTTCCACGCATCTCGGACAAAAACCATGAACTCACGATCCAAATCCTCAAGAGTGTAAGACGTCGCGTAGGTCTTCACTGTATAATTCAGCGATTGTCCCAGTTGCCAACTCACCTCTGGGATGACTACAACCACCTCGTGCCCTCTCTGCATGAGTTTCTCCACGACCGAGCGCATGGTAAACCAGTGGCTCCCATCCATGGGAACCACCAGCAGCTTGCCTGCCTCGCCAACGCCAGACATCAGTAGCAGGCTCACACAGAGAGGAAGGAGGCCGGTCATAATTGCAGGAGACATTGGGTAACTGCAGCCCTGAGCAACGCACCTGCTGGGAGTCCAAGCTCAGTACTACAGCAGGCAGAAGAAACACAGGCACAAAACCTGACCCAGGGAAGGGTGTGTTTTCATACAATAAAAAAATGATACAGTCAATGATTTACTCACAAGAACAATGATAAATGAGCAGCATTTACTGAGTTATGTGCTTGGATGTTTTATAGGCAACATTAGCCATGCCCTTTCTTGCAACATGAGTTTAGAAAGATAGAGTAAGGGATGATTTATACCTCAAGGGGACATACACACACGCACACACACACACAGACACACACAGAGAAAAATAGGTAAAAAGGAGACAAAATTAAAACAAAGCTTGTGCACCTGAAATTTGTCTAACTGTAAAATCCAGATTTTATCTTCAGATTACCAAAGGCTCTTTGTTCATAAAGAAACTGGCATCCCAAGGACAGACTGGAAGGTCTATAGCCTTGACCATTTCAATAGCAGTGGAATTTTGTTCACAGGAATCTCTGCTGATAAAAACATTGCCACTTTCCTCGTTCCATTTCCAGAAACATTTTTCTTCTATTTACAAACTTTTGAGTTGTCTGAAACGCTGAAATAGCATTAAGAACTGCTGTTCCATGGACTATCCCAGGGGTTTGATGACTGTCGTCTATTTTAAATTGCTTTACCTCTGCTGTGGACTCACCCCGATTGGCCTGGTGCACTCCTTCAAGATTCTGTGATTTTGCCTGCTACACTACCGAGCACACCCCAATGTCTGGGCATTCTATCTTCATGTTATCATGTGCTATGCCCTGCACAGAGAATGCTACACTGGAATGAGTTATAGTGTGAAGGTTATCTAGAGACCCTCACAGGTGACCCCACTGATGTGTGTCATGTAACATGCCAAGGAGGACTTAGGGATTCTCCAACCAACCTGGGCATACTCTATTACCAGCACAAGATAACTCCTTCTGGAACACCCTGTTGCTACACATTTGCTGTGTCACCATTTACCTTGGTAGTGGGCACTTTCAGGTAACTGTCTTTCAAAAATAAAAATCAGGACAGTGACATTAGCAAGTTGGCAGAATAAGAAATCTCAGAGGGAACTGGTGCTGTGGTGTAGCAGGTAAAGCTGCTGCCTGCAGTGTCAGCATCACATATGGGTGCTGGTTCGAGTCCCACCCGCTCCACTTCTGATCCAGTTCTCTCCTATGGCCTGGGAAAGCAGTAGAAGATGCCCTAAGCCCTTGGGCCCCTGCACTTGCGTGGGAGACCCAGAAGAAGCTCCTGGCTACTGGCTTCAGATCGGCCTGCCTCTGGCTGTTATGACTACTTGGGGAGTGAACCAGCAGATGGAAGACCTCTCTCCCCTGCTCCCTATCTCTTTCTGCCTCTCTGTAACTCTGTCTTTCAAATAAATAAATCTTAAAAAAAAAAAAAGAAATCTCAGATTGCACTCCCTCCTCAAAGTTAAAACAGCAGCTATCCACAAACTACAACATCCTTTTGAAACCAGAACACTTGGAAACAAGTTAGAGACAGCCATGTGATCTGCAGCACCAAATGAAATCTGTTTTATAAGGGGAAGAACCTCTTTCTATGACCATGCTGTCTCTCCCCCTTCCAACATAGCACAACCTCCAACATGGAGGATTCCTCTGGGCCTGCAGTATCTACAGGGGGAAAAGAGGACTGGCAGAAGTCATCCAGCCACCGTAGACCCTGAGATGGTCCCTACACAGGCTACCCAGGCTTACCTCATGGGAAGCAACGGCAGACACAGACACGAGGCAGCGGTCAGCGCAGCCAGCTCATGGGTCTCGGTCATGCCCCGGTGCTCCTGCCGGCTGCCGCACCTTATCAGAGACCCCACCAACTCCACAGAGCACCTGCTATGCCGAGCTGGTCATGTTTAGAAGCATGGTGGAAAACTCAGCCTCTCCTGTTTGAGTCCCTGGACGGTTCTGCTCCCTGCCTGGGCTCAGAGCCCAGCACAGTGATTCTCCCAAGCAGAGAGACTCCCACTCCCAAAGGTTTAGGGGAACCAAAAAAAGCTAGGTTGGCTTGACCCCAGAAGTCACACAGTGGCTCCACTCTGCAAAAAAGCACAGCCAACAATCCCACCGAGGCAGGGAGACTCCCAGCTCTGCACACTGCAGGGAAGCATAGGAGAGACATAGGCTTGCCCTCCGTTATAGGAATTGCTGAAGGGAATTCTTCACGCTGAAATCAAAAGCTACTAATAACAAAACATATGAAAGAAAAATCCAATGGTATGATTAAAACAAAGCCATATTCAGAATGCTCTAAGAGGGTGATGATATGGTTATAAGGGAATGCTATCCCTAGTACACGGACTTAAAGACAAAACTACAGCTAAGATAAACTGTCAGAAGGTACACCAGACAAAATCATTTCTTCAAATGGAGGGGGAAGTGAAAGTGTAGGCTTGTTGTATGCAATCAAAGTTAAGTTTTCGCAAACTTGAAAGGGACTGTGTCAGGATGTTCTACACAGGCCTCTCAGCAACCACAAAATGGAAATCTGGGCCAGATGAACAACGCAAAGTGGAAGGGACCCAAACCACACCATGGCAGAAAACCACCAAGTCACAAGACAGACAGATGCAGAGGGAGACAGAAAGGCAATGGGTCTATGACACAGGCAACCCTTCCATTTCAACAAATACTTTGAATAGAAATGGATTAAATTCTCCAATAAAGGAACATAGTGGCTGAGCAGAGAGGAAAATAAGGCTTGATATTGTCTCTCGGAGAAAACTGGCTGCAATTCAAAATCCATTCAAAGCGACAAATACAAGCATCACTTAATGATAAAGGGTCAGTTCATCAAGAGGATAAAACAAGGTAAAATAACAAACAAATATACCCACAACAGAGCACCTATCTATATAAATTAAATATTGAGGGGCCAGCGCTCTGGTGCAGTGGGCTAATGCCTTGGCCTGGAGCGCCAGCATTCCATATGGGCACCAGTTTGAGACCCGGCAGCTCCACTTCTGATCCAGCTCTCTGCTATGGCCTTGGAAAGCAGTAGAAGATAGCTCAAATCCTTGGGCCCTTGCACCCACATGGGAGACCTGGAAGAAGCTCCTGGCTCCTGGCTTCCAACTGGTGCAGCTCTAGCCATTACAGCCAAATGGGGAGTGAACCATCAGATGGAAGACACCTCTCCCTCTCTCCCTTTCTCCCTCCCTCGCTCTCCCTCTCTCTCTGCCTCTCTCCTCTCTGTGTAACTATTTCAAATAAATAAATAAATCTTTTAAAAAATAATTAATTATTGAAAGATTTGAAAGGAGAGACAGATTGCAATACAGTAATACCAGAGGATAGAATACCCCACTTTTAACAAGGTACGTGGAGCCAGCGCTGTGGTGCAATGGGTTAAACCCCCCGGCCAGCAGTGCTAGCATCCCATATGGGTGCCGGTTCGAGTCCTGGCTGCTCCACTTCCAATCCAGCTCTCTCTGCTATGGCATGGGAAAGCAGTAGAAAATGGCCCAAGTGCTTGGGCCCCTGCATCCACGTGGGAGACCTAGAAGAAGCTCCTGGCTTCTGACTTCAGATCAGCTCAGCCGTTGTGGCCATTTAGGGAGTGAACCAGCAGCTGGAAGACTTCCCTCTCTCTCTCTTTCTCTCCCCCTTCTACCCCTCTATGTAACTCTGTCAAATAAATAAAACAAATATCATCTTTGGGCACGATGATATGAAACTAACAATCAAGAACAAGGAATTTTGGAAAATTGTCAAAGACATGAAAATGAAACAACATATTTTAAACAACATTTGATCAATAATGATATGGAAATAAAAATTTTAGAATACCTTAAGATGAAAAAAAAAAAAACCAGAAACACAACATACCAAAATTTATGGGATACAGCAAGGCAATTCTAAGACAAAATTTATGGCCATAAAAATCTCTATTAAAAGACAGAAAGATCTCAGATTTAAAAAGTTGAACATTACATCTCAAAGAACAAGAGAAAAGACAAAACAAGTCCATAATTAGCAGAAGGAGAGAAATAATAAAGGTGAGGGCAGAAACAAAAGAAATAGGCAAAAGGAAAAACAATACAAACTATAAGCACATTTGGTTTTCTGAAAAAATACATAAAATTGAGAAAACCTCAGCTATGTTATCAAAGAAGACTTAATTAAATGAAATGAAAAAATTAGAGAACACATATTATTATGGATAGCAAAGAAATGTGAAGCACAATATAGACTATTCTGAATGATTACATGAAAAAAATTGGGTAATCTAGCAGAAATGGATAAACCCCCAGACACACAGCCTACCCAGACTGACTCATGAAGGAACACATGATCTCAACAGATCAATAATCAGCAAGCATCAGGCCAGTAATAAAGTCTCTCATTAAAGAAAGCTCCAGGAACTGATCTTTTCGTGGTTAAATTCATTTAAAGAACTAAAACCAATCTTTCCAGAAAAAAAATGGTGGAATACTTCCAAACTCTTTCTATGAGAATGACATTACTCTGATACAAAATTACACAAGGACATTAGAAGAGAAGATTTCATACCCATATCCTTGATCAACACTGATGCAAAAACCCTATCGAAAGAAGGCTATGGTAATAGGTGATGGCCCCACCCACTATAATGGGCTCTTGTGGTAGGAAAGACAGATTGAACTTAATTCCTACAGAATTTTTAAAAGAAAAGGACATGCTGTAGATTAGTATAATAGAGTGCTAGAAGAAATCATTCAGCATGACAAAATACATTTGTAGCCTTATTCAAACACATCATCTGCTCAATTGTTCTTTTATATATATATGTATAGTAAAGCACACACAACATAAAATTAACTATTTCATGGGCCAGCATTGTGGTGTAGCTGGTAAATCACCCCATACGAGTGCCAGTTCATGTCCCGATTACTCCACTTCCAATCCAGCTCCCTGCTAATGGCCCATGAAAAGCAACAGAAGATGCCGCAAGTGTTTGGGCCCCTGACACCCCACATCCTGACCACTGCAGCCATTTGAGGAGTGAACCAGCAAATAAAAGTTCTCTCTCTCTCTCTCTCTCTACTTCTGCCTCTCCTTCTGTTTAACTCTAACTTTCAAATAAATAAATATTTTAAAAAACCATAGTTATAAAGCAGATACATACATACACCAAAGTATTGAAAATTATTATAAACGAAAGATGGACATATGGGTGTTCCTGTTCCTGGCAGTATAGTCTCTCCTTTGTGTGTGTTTGAACAGTTTGGTAATAAAATCTTGAAAAAACAAATCTTGGTTGGGAGGACCCGATCTTATCCTTTAACAGCTAAATTTGAATTTTGGGTTTTGGAATGGAGCCAGAGTTTGTGGGCAGTGAGGCAGCAGGGCCTTTTCTGCCATGCACCTGCACCCACCCCAGGCTTCCCGAGAGAGAACAGCCCTCGCTGTGCAGACAGAACCTGAAGCCTTCCTGCTGGGCCCAGTCATCACCACCACCAGCGCGTGCCAGATAGGGAAAAAGACTGGGAGGGGTTGCTGCTTCTGCTTTCCCATTAACACAATGTCAGTGTTCTCCAGAATGGTGATCTCTCATCTTTTTGAAAGTATTCCATGACAGCCTTGGTTGTAATTCCCATACATAGACTCAAAGATATTTTCTTACAGATCTCGAAAAACCCTGGGCTGGGCTTGAAACACCAGACATAACACATGCCCCCCCCCCACCCACACACACACAGTTGAGTAGACACTCAGCAGCACCTGCTGCTCACCAGAGAGATGCCACTCAGGCTGCAAGCTGTGGTCTCTAGCAAGGCACAGCCACGCACGGTTTCCAAGAATTAGCTGCCAGGTCTGACCAGCGATGGAGAAACACACACTGTCCACAGGTCTCTCAGGAAAATTTATTTTTGTAGGAATACTGTACCTTAGGCTTCTCTTCAAAGGCCCTTCTTTGAGATCTGAATTCCTCTTTGAGAATTTTGCTTGCTTTTTACTTGTATTAGTAAACATATAAATACAATCCTCATAAATCTCTATCACTTACTAGATATATAACACCTTTCTCGTGTTTTCAAAATATATACAAGAGGTCTTCAAACATTCCTGGAAAAGGCACATTATATTTTATTTCCAGATTTGCACAAACATGGTGAAGTACCCTCATATATAACTAACATTTATTAGAACTGTATGGTTCAGTGTCTCATATTTTATACATATCATTATGGGAGCTGTGATATAAAAGCAGGCCTATCTTTCCATACTTCTAACATCTCAGGTGACCCAGTGAGCCACTCTGAACTCTGCTGGCTCAGGAAGTTGCAGGCCCCACCCTTGGGTAGAGGGCAGTGGTGCACGCAACAACTGGGTGGTGCCTGGTGCTGCTCTGATGGAGGGGAAAGGGGAAAGAAGCCCTTCGAACAGGCTCAGCCTCTCGGAGTCCTACAACCTGCACTCCATGGCTGGTCCTGCCAAGAGCAGAAAGTCACGCCTCACTTTGACAGGCCTCAAAGGGCAATCTCACTGCACGTTAGAGCAAACAACACTTCACATTCCCATTAGTTGGCTGAAAAGACACTCTGGCCAAGCATCTGCCCATATCTGAGAGAATATGACTGTTCCAGGGTCTACTGAACTGTGTAAGAAGTCAGAACAACTGATAAAAAGGAACACTCCTTTCTTAATAAAATAATATGTTGAGATAAGACATCAGATTAGCTTGAATGTGATAGCCCTACTGTGGCCACGGATCCTACCCTTGTATTTGTCAAGACTTCTTCAGTTGCAAGTGGCTGAATCCCAACTGAGACTCTACAGACCAACGATACTACTCTACGCTGTTAAGAGATACATGCTCAATCAACCAGCCATTAATCCTACGTCAAAGCTGCTAACGGCGTGGCAGCATGAACATGTAAGTCAGTCAGTGGGACAAAACTGAAGAGTTCAGAAGCAGATGCAAGCACTCAGAAAAGTGTAAAATACAATGAAGCTGCAGTTCAGCTGCATGGATGAAGAGCAGCGTTCTTGTTCAATGGTGTGGGACAATGCGACATCTATCAAGAAAGAAGTAAAGACAGACCGTACACCACAGACACTGGAGTCCTCTCTGTCAACAGTACATAATGCTATCACCATCAGGGAATACGGAATTTTATAACGTGGAAGAAAGACTTAGCTCAGGCTGGGAAAGCCCTCAGCAAGTTGAAATCCAGCCACTAAGGGAAAAGTTAACCAATCCGACTAACCCAGAAAAGAAAACCCTGTTGGGCGCAGGAGAAAGAACCTTTGTAGCACATGTGATGGAGAGCAGACAGGAATTCCTGTTTCTACATAAAACCACCAGGCTGGCCTGGTCAGCAAGGCCTGCTCCTGGCTTCAGTCCGAGCACACTTTCCTCGAGCTTTCTCCTCCCTGAAGCGGGATTTGATGCTATGGCTCAATGTTTAAGAGGGTGTGATCAGGGCCGGCACTGTGGTGTAGCAGGTAAAGCCTCCACCTGCAGTGCTGGCATTCCATATGGGCGCCAGTTCGAGTCCCAGCTGCTCCACTTCTCTGCTACGGCCTGGGAAAGCAGTAGAAGATGGCCCAAGCCCTTGGGCCCCTGCACCCACATGGGAAGACCTGGAGGAAGCTCCTGGCTCCTGGCTTTGGATTGGCGCAGATCCAGCTGTTGTGGCCATTTGGGGCATGAACCCGTGGATGAAAGACCGCCCCCCCCCCGCCTCTCCTTCTCTATCTGTGTAACTCTGACTTCCAAATAAATAAATAAATATTTTTATAAAAGACGACATGATCATGGATGTTGAGTTCCAGCTGACACAGAGAAACATCATGGATGAGGACTACCAGGAGTTTAAAGACACTGAAGTGAACAAGTATTCTTCCACACCTAGCTTTATTTTTAAGATATATTTATTTATTTGAAAGGCAGAATTCCTGAGAGAGAGAGAGAGAGAGAGAGAGAGAGAGAGAGAGATATCTTCCATTTGCTGGTTTACTCTCCCAGATGGCCACAACAGCCAGGGTTCAGCTAGGCCAAAGCCAGGAACTTCTTCCAGGTCTCCACATGGGTGCAAGGACCCAAGCACTTGAGCCATCCTCCATTGCTTTCCCAGGTGCATTAGCAGGGAGCTGGATTGGCAATGGAGCAGTCAGGACTCAAACCTGCTCCCATATGGGAAGCCAGCGCTGCAGGCTGTGGCTTACCTCCCTGAGCCACAGCACCAGCCCCACAAACCTGGTTTTTAATGACTAGGTTTCTTTGGTAGAAAAGAAGCTGAAAGGGCAGCTGCTGGAGTGGATTCCTGGTGTTTTTTTTTTAATATTTATTTATTTTACTTGAAAGTCAGAGTTACACAGAGAGAGAGAGGGAGAGGCGGGGGGGGGGGTGGTCTTCCATCCGCTGGTTCACCGCCCCAAATGGCCACAACAGCTGGAGCTGTGCCAATCCAAAGCCAGGAGCCCAGAGCCAGGAACTTCCTCCAGGGCTCCCACCCTGGTGCAGCAGCCCAAGGGCTTGGGCCATTTTCTACTGCTTTCCCAGGTCACAGCAAAGAGCTGGATAGAAAGTGGAGCAGCTGGGACTCGAACTGGCACCCATATGGGATGCCAGCAATGTAGGCAGCAGCTTTACCTGCTACACCACAGTGCCAGCCCAATTCCTGGGTTTAACATGGGCGCTTTCACATTATGTCATCATGAACAGGAAGTGGCTGGTGACACATTCACCAAGACACTCATGTTGATGGATTTTCTGGCTTTTTCTTTTTTAATTTTTATTTATTTATTTATTTATTTGACAGGCAGAGTGGACAGTGAGAGAGAGAGACAGAGAGAAAGGTCTTCCTTTGCCACTTTGCCGTTGGTTTACCCTCCAATGGCCGCCGCGGCCTGCGTGCTGCGGCCAGCGCACCACGCTGATCCAATGGCAGGAGCCAGGTACTTCTCCTGGTCTCCCATGGGGTGCAGGGCCCAAGCACTTGGGCCATCCTCCACTGCACTCCCTGGCCACAGCAGAGAGCTGGCCTGGAAGAGGGGCTACCGGGACAGAATGCAGCGCCCCGGGGTTTTTCTGGCTTTTGAAGAAACGTTTCCAGACTACAGCACAGATAAAGAAGGCTGAGGGTTAGACCTGAGCCATGGTTTAGTGGTGCCACCCTTGTCACCCATGCCAGCTTTTCAGAAGAATGTATGGTTTTAGGTCCCACCTCCATGCAATGAATGGGGTCTTTTCTTAATGTCATCTGCTCCCATAGGCTCCGAGAGGCTTCAGGTCATGAGTGCATCTTGGAAAGACTGACTCTGTTCATGTCAAGGGCTTATGGGTCCAAAACAAGCCCTGGCCCTCCCAGATCTGTCTCTCTTGAAACAGCACCTGTACTCAGTAACCATAGGCACCCTCCCCTCCCCAAGCGGACACCTCCTTCAGGAGTTTTTGTGAGTCAGACCACTCCAGAGTGGTCTGGGACAGCTCTACCCAATACACATGCTGCTATCAGCAGTGTGGAGTAGCCCCCACCATCACAAACCCTCTGTGTCCCAACAGGCTCTGTGGGAATCTTTCTCCTACACTCACAGCTCTTTTTCACATGGGTCAGAGGTTCAACCCTACAGCTTCTGGGGTACTTCATCTAGCAAAGGTGGGATCTTTGTTCTACCAAGGGTCATTTAGATATTTATAACATCATTTTGCGGGCCACACAAAATTCTCAGCTTAAAAATGAGCCTGCTACAGATTCATTGAATTTTGATTCCTGCCTGCAGTTGCCTTGGCAAGGCCAACTCAAATGATTTCATGGGTGTCATACAGCCCACGGGTAGGATGTTCCCTACCCCTGGATTAGGATGTTACTCAAGCCAGCTGCCTGTCTGAAGATTCCTGAATTTTCTATGATCACAGCTTGTCCGGGCTGTGAGATCAACTGAGAGACACCTTTAACCTAAGTTGCATGTGGATATCAACTTATTGTCTTGCATCTGTAGTCCTCATTACCACTTTGTCTTCTCCTGGTCCTGATGTAGTCTCACCACTTCTCAAAGTCTCTTCTAAGCATTATTAAAAAAAAAATTATATAGAGGAACACTCAGGTTCATTTGGTGGAGACAATATTGGAATTTCCATGATTACCCACTTAAAGACCAAACTGTCATATGCCGTGTGCTTGTCAGTTGTCACTGCCATGACAGATATGACTGGGCAGCAGTGAATGTGTGCTGGAAGTGGACTGAATGCTCTCCTATTCCTACGGCGTGCTCAGTGTGTTTGTGCATAGATGCTCACAGTCCTTTCTGTGTAGATCAGTTTGTTGGGTTTTCTGTTGGGGTAGGTAGAGACTAATTTCTTCTTGTCAATCTCTCCTGCCAACATGGTGTCCCAGTTAAGCTCAACATGAGCAGGGATAGGAAGAAAGCGTTACTTGTAATCCGTCTGTTGGGTTTAGTACAATGGTTGGTAGAAGAGTACTAACTAGAAAACATGTGTCATACCTCTGGAAAAAGAAAACAATACAGAAGTTCAATTTCTAGCGTGTACTTTTTTTGAGTAAAAATAAGAACCTGGAATGACTTTAATGTAGCCCATTAAAGGATGTGCTACACAATTCCAGATCTAAATCTAAGACCTGATACCATCAAATTAATAGGGGATAACATTGGGGAATCTCTGCAAGACATTGGCATAGCAAAGAGTCCTTGGAAAAGACTCTAGAAGCACAGGCAATAGAAGACAAATGGGATTACATCAAGCTAAGAAGCTTCTGCACTGCGAAGGAAACCCTCACAAAGTGAAGAGGCAACTGACAGAATGGGAGAAAAGATCTGCAAACTATGCAACTGATAAAGGATTAATACCTAGAATCTATGTGTTCAGTAAACTCAACAACAACAAAATAAACAATGCAGTTAAGAAATGGGCAAAGGACTTGAACAGGTATTTTTCAAAAGATGAAACTCAAATGGCCAACAGACACATAAAAAAAATGCTCAGGATCACTAGCCATCAGGGAAATGCAAATCAAAACTACAGTGAGGTTTTACCTCACCCCAATTAGAATGGCTCTCATACGGAAATAAAAAAAAAAAAAAACAATAAATGCTGGTGAAGATGTAGGGGGAAAGGTACTCTAATTCACTGTTGGTTAGAATGTAAACTAGTACAGCCATTGTGAAAGACAATAAAAATGATTACTCAGAGATCTGAAATAGATCTACCATATGACCCAGTCATCCCACTCCTGGGAATTTACCCAAAGGAAATGAAATCAGCATATGAAAGAGTTATTTGTACCCCATGTTTGCTGCAGCTCAATTCACAATAACTAAGGTATGGAATCAACCTGGATGTCCATTAATCGATGACTGGATAAAGAAAATGTGGTACATATACATTATGGAATACTGCCCAGCTGTAAAAAAGAATGAAATCATGGCTTTTGCAACAAAATGAATGCAACTGGAAATCATTATACTTAGTGAAATAAGCCAGTCCTAAAAAGACAAATATATGTTTTCCCTGATCTGTGACAACTAAGAGTAAAGAAAATGTAATGTACAGGAGCGAATTGTCATTTTGAGATTTGATTAGTGCTTACAGCCCTTGTCTCTACTGTTGAGGAACAGTGTTTTTTTCTTCTTATGGTTTGTTAAACTTTTTACTTAGAGGAAGGTTAAGCTTATGATTATTAAATAAGCGGAAAGTATGTCATTGTAAAAATTAAAAGAAAGAATAAGAAAAAAACAAGGACGGAGTATGGGTGGGACCATGGTCAGGAGGGAGGGCAGGGTGGGAAGTATCACTATGCTCCTAAGTCTGTGGGGGCCTGCGCTGTGATGCAGCGGGTTAAAGCCTTGGCCTGAAGCGCCAGCATCCCATATGGAAGCCAGTTCTAGTTCCAGCTGCTCCTCTTCTGATCCAGCTCTCTGCTGTGGCTTGGGAAAGCAGTAGAAGATGCTCCAAGTCCTTAGGCCCCTGCACCTATGTGGGAGACCTGGAAGAAGCTCTCGGCTCATGGCTTTGGAACGTCACAGCTCCAGCCATTGCGGCCATCTGGGGAGTGAACCAGCAGAGGGAAGACCTCTCTCTCTATCTCTACCTCTCTCTGTAACTCTTTTAAATAAATAAATAATCCTGATGCCATAGACAGGAGTGTCAATTGGTAAAATCAACAACAGGAGTCACTGTGCACTTACTCCTCATGTAGGATCTCTATCCTTAATGTGCTGTACATTGAGATTTAATGCTATAACGAGTACTCAATCAATATATTTCACTTTGTGTTTCTATGGGGGTGCAAACTGTTGAAATCCTTACTTAATGCATACTAAACTGATCCTCTGTAAAAAAAAAAAAAAAAAAAGAAATTATCAATTCCCAACTTGACTCTCACTGGGATTAAACATGACAATAGGTCTGCTCTGATTTCATCATCATTTTAAAAAAATCATCTATTATTTTTCACTTTATGTTTCTGTGTGGGAGCAAACTGTTGAAATCCATACTTAATGTATACTAAGCTGATCTTCTGTATATTAAGATAATCGAAAATGAATCTTGATGTGAATGGAAGGGGAGAGGGAGTGGGAAAGGGGAGGGTTGTGGGTGGGAGGGACGGTATGGGGGGGAAGCCATTGTAATCCATAAGTCGTACTTTGGAAAATTATATGCATTAAATAAAAGTTTAAAAGTTTAAAAAAAAAAAAAAAAGAAATACATGAAATTTGTTCACATTATACCAATTTAAAAAATGGAAAAAAAGATTTGCTACAGGCTATGTGTATTTCTATTTTATTGTGACACTTATTAAATATTTTGTATTTATACATGAATAAATAACAAGTGTAAATAAATGTAAAGTGCATAAATAAAATGTATAATTTTTAACAACTATTGAACAATATGCCTATGTCATTCTCAAAACAGGAAATATAAGTAACCGATACCTATGAAAATAGGAAGTAAAAACTGAAGCAGCTACACACAATCTTTTTGCCCAGAAATCTAAGGGTACCAAAAGCTACAGTCCTTATAGATGAAAGGTGAGGCTTTTCAACATCAGGAAAGCACACTCTCAAATTCATTACAATGTGATATGTGCATAGACCCTGTGACCCTACTGCTCAGGCTAATGTCTACTGATTAAAAAGCAAGAACACTGAAATTTCTCAGCACCAGGAAGTACTTAAGAATGTTTAGTGCAGTTTTGCACATAACAGCAGAAAGGAGAAAAGCTTAAAAATGTATTACTATTGACTGCTTGAAAAAACTAAAGTTCATCTAAAGACTTTCTTGCAGTCTTACAAAACCATACAAAATTTTATGCTTTGACCTATGAAGATGGCTACGATTGATTGGCAAGTGAAAATTGCATGATACAGTCCAGTATGTCCATCCTGATATCAGATTTTATTTTAATTAAACAAGTATAAAAATGTACATTACAGATACACATATATACTGTAAACAGATGCATACAAAACTACTAATAGAATTTTCTAAGATATGTCTTAGGATAAGCAAAAAAGGACACTGGGTTTCACACTATGTTTTTCACTATTTTTCCAAAAGCAGTATTTAAAAAATGCAGCTTGCAAAGAACATACAGTGAGGTCAAGTGCATACATGTACATCTCAATGAGGAAAGCCTTGCAACCTTTGCTAATGCCCCAAAACAAGGAGCTGGCACAAGATCATTTGTTAAACTAGAAACAATGACAGTTAATCACAAATCAGAGTTGAACAGGAGTCTTTTTAAAAATATTTCCAAAAACATATTATTCTTTGCATGCTAAAGGAGAAAGAACCTACCTTCAACAAAGGTTTCCCCTGCTGGCAGTTGATGCCACCAATGTAGACCATGTTGGGCATCAGAGGTTTGGGATGTTCCAAAACAAAGTCAGTCCGTAACAACCAAATCGATGTGTGGCTGAAGAGATCATATAGCGTGACAGGCTTTGGGAGAACTTCAGAAGCAATTTCTAAGACACTTTTGAAAAAATAGGAGCAAAGTAAACGTTCCTGAAAGTAACTGAGATGGTTCCAAATTCTTTCCTTGAAGGTCATTGTATCTGAGAAGCTTAAGAAATTTCTGGGAACGTATGAAGGAGGATAGGAGCACTGTGTAGCCTCCTCCAGATAATGGCAAAATACTCCCCTGGTGAACACCACGGAAGGGAGTGAAAAATATTTGGCAACAATTAAGCCACACATATCAAAGGGATCTAGAAACACTGCATCAAAAGAATTTTCTTTTAAGTATTCCACTAATTTCTTGTCATTAAACAAACTCCTACAATGTGAAAAAAATATTTCAAAAAGATTGTAGGCTGAACCCTTGCTAAGGGAAAGTATGCTGTCTTCCCGAATTTTCCACTGAGTTTTGGCAAAAGCCAAGAGTTCACGATCCATATCTTCCAGAGTGTAAGACGTCGCGTAGGTCTTCACTGTACAATTCAGCGATTGTCCCAGTTGCCAACTCACCTCTGGCATGACTACGACCAACTCGTGCCCTCTCTGGATGAGTTTCTCCACGACCAAGCGCATGGTAAACCAGTGGCTCCCATCCATGGGAACCACCAGCAGCTTGCCTGCCTCGCCAACGCCAGACATCAGTAGCAGGCTCGCACAGAGAGGAAGGAGGCCGGTCATAATTGCAGGAGACATTGGGTAACTGCAGCCCCGAGCAACCCAGCTGCTTGGAGTCAAAGCCCAGTACTACAGCAGGCGGAAGAAACACGGGCACAGAACCTGCGCCAGGAAAGGGCGTGTTTTCACATTGTCAAAAAAAAAAAAAAATACATTCACTGCCAATGATTTACTCACAATAACTAAGATAAGAGTAGCATTACTGAGATTATATACTTGGATGCTTTCCAACGAAGATTAGCTTATGATCACTGCCTTGGGGAGAAATCATGACCTATCTTGAAACATTAGTTCAGAAAGAGATATTAAGCAACGCTTTTACACTTTAAAGACTGAAGAAATATAGGAAACCTGAATACAATTGTATATGTGGAATTTGTCCAAACAGAAAATTTTTATTTTGTGTTCCCATTACCAGAGGTTCTTTGCTCAAGGAGGCAATCGGCATCCCAGGTTCCAAGGACAGCCGGGAAGGCCCACTTCAATAGCCGTGGAGTTTATTCACCAGCATCTTAGCCTGCACAGACACTGCTACTTTCCTTCTTCCACTTCCAGAAGGGTTTTTCTTTCATTAACAAACTCTCTGAGTTCTCTAAAATGCTGAAAAAAACATTGAAAACCCTTGCTCCATGGACCAACCCAGGGGTTTGGTGACTATCATCTGTTTTAAATTGTTTTCCCCAGATGCGTGACAGGCTGTGGGTGTGACTGGCCCAATGCATGCCACAGCAGTCCACTAAATACTTCTGCCTTTCCTCTTGGCTTCCACATTTTTTTTTGACAGGCAGAGTTAGATAGTGTGTGTGAGAGAGAGAGAGAGAGAGAGGTCTTCCTTCTGTTGGTTCACCCCCCAAATGGCAGCTACAGCAGGAGCCAGGTGTTTCCTCTTGGTCTCCCATGCGGGTGCAGGGCCCAAGAACCTGGGACATCCTCCACTGCCTTCCTGGGCCACAGCAGAGAGCTGGACTGGAAGAGGAGCAACCGGGACAGAACTGGCGCTGCAACAGGGACTAGAACCCAGAGTGCCACACTGCAGGCAGAGGATCAGCCTAGTGAGCCATGGCGTCAGCCTGCATCTGCATTCTAAGCAGAGGCTTAGTTCTCAGCTGGGGATCACCCCAGTCGGCCTGGTATCCTCTTTTGTGATTCTGGGAATTTGTGTCACACTCTCCCAAGCACTCTCTGATGTCAGAACACTGTATCTTCTTCAGCAGTATACACACTATGCCCTGCACAGAGAATGTCTGTTCCATTGGAATGAATTACACTGTGAAGGCTATTCAGAGACCCTCACAGGTGACCCAGTGGTGTGTGTCAGGTAACATGCCAAGGACTACTGAGTTAGGGATTCTACAGCCAATCTGGGGCATAATCCTTGTTATCAACACTAGATAATTCCTTTTGTTACCAGACAATTGCTGAGTCACCATTTACCTTGGTACCAGGCAATTTTGGACAACTGTGGCTATCTGGAAAATGAAAATAAAAATGAAGACAGTGACACCAACAAGATGGCAGTTTAAGAAATCTCAGACTCCACTCCCCTCATAGAAAGTTCAAACAGCAGCTATCCTCAAAATATGCCATCTTTTAAAATAAACAAATGGGATTACCTCAAATTGAAGAGTTTCTTTACAGCAAAGGAAACAGTCAGGAAAGTGAAGAGTCAACCAACAGAATGGGAGACGTTATTCGCAAACCACACAACAGATAAAGGATTAACAACTAGAATCTATAAAATGATCAAGAAACACCACAGAATCAAAACAAACAACCCAATAAAAAGATGGGCCAAGGACCTTAACAGACATTTTTCTTTTTCTTTTTCTTTTTAACTTTTATTTAATGAATATAAATTTCCAAAGTACAGCTTATAGAGTACAATGGATTCCCCCCCATAACATCCCTCCCACCCACAACCCTCCCCTTTCCCACTCCCTCTCCCCTTCCATTCACATCAAGATTCATTTTCGATTCTCTTTATATACAGAAGATCAGTTTAGCATACATTAAGTAAAGATTTTCAAAAGAGGAAATCCAAATGGCCAACAGACACATGAAAAAATGCTCAGGATCCCTAGCCATCAGGGAAATGCAGATCAAAACCACAATGAGATTCCACTTCACTCCGGTCAGACTGGCTTACATACAGAAATCAACCAACAACAGATGCTGGTGAGGATGTGGGGGAAAAGGGACACTAATCCACTGTTGGTGGGAATGCAAACTAGTAAAGCCGCTATGGAAGACAGTTTGGAGAGTCCTCAGAAACCTGAATGTAGCACTACCACAGGACCCAGCCATCCCACTCCTTGGAATATACCCAAATGGAATTAAAGGGGAGAAAAAAGCCATTTGCACCTCAATATTTGTTGCAGCTCAATTCACAATAGCTAAGACATGGAAGCAACCTAAATGTCCATCAACGGATGACTGGATAAAGAAACTATGGGATATGTACTCTATGGAACACTATACAGCAGTAAAAAAAAAAAAAAAAAAAAAACAATGAAATCCAGGCATTTACAACAAAGTGGAGGAAGCTGGAAAACATCATGCTGAGTGAAATAAGCCAGTCCAAAAGGGACAAATATCACATGTTCTCCCTGATCAGTGGCAACTAAACGAGCACCTAAAATGATACCCATTGAAGTGAAATGGACACTATGAGAGACAATTACATGATCAGCCCTTGTCTAGACTGTTGAGGAACAAGTTACTATTTTATTCCTTTTAGTATTGTTGTTGTTGCTTGGTTTGTCCTACTTAATACCACTGGTTGAACTCTGTAATCAATACACAATCAATCTTAGGCATTTAAAAATTAACAGAAAAGTGGGGGAAGATGGTGGAATAGGGAGAGAGCACACTGAAGGTCCGGGAAGGGAAGGTTCAAAGAGGGGTGAGAGTTTGTAGTTTTGGGGAACGAGAAGCTCTTCCCAAAATTGGGGAGACAGGGTGGACCCGCGAGGAGAACGCAGATGCCTGAGGTGCAGGACACCAGCAGGAGTGTGTACGCACCAGCGCTGGAAGCCGAGGTGAGACGGGGCGCTCGCCCAGCACCACGGCAACAGCTGCCGCCGCCCCTCCCCCAACTCTCCCTGGGACGGACACTGAGACACACACGACTGAGTGGGGTAGGAAATAGAAAATGGAACAGAGTGAGTGGCGCCTGCAGAAAGAGTGCGCGACTCAGGGGTACTAATTGAGAGACTGAGTAAGCCAGTATCTCTTGGCGCCTCCTCAGAGCTGCAGCAGGCGGGAAGCAGCCATTTTGTCTGTTTACATTTGGGCTTAAAGGAGAACTGTCTTTGCCTCGACACTCACCTTCGGAGGCGGAACCCAAAGGTGGAGCAGAGCAACAGGACACTTCTTGCGCAGGGATGGGCATCGAGGGAGGGCAGCTCAAAGCCCTGACGCCCATCTACTCAAGTTACAAGAAAAAAAAAATTTGAATAACGCCTGCGGGAAAAGGGCAGGATCCAGAACTGAGGGATCAACAGGAGCCGCCCAACCCATAATCAGAGCTGCAGCAGGCAGAGAGCAGCCATCCTGTCTGTCTACGTTCGGGCTGTGTAGAGCAGCCTGCTTACACTGGATATTGGTACAGACTCACAGCAGCCTATAGCAGAGGGAAATCAACCTGAAAAACCACCCAGACGGAATGCCAAAAAACAAAACAAAAACCCACAATAAGAATATAGAAGAACATATAAACTTGCCAATGGAGCAGGCTAAACCAACCATAACAGAGGCTGAAGAAGAAGAAGTTGAAACCATGCCAGAAAAAGAATTCAGAAAATTAATAATCAGAATACTTAGAAATAATGAGAAACAGTGTCAAGAGCTGAATGAAAAACAAGCCCAAGGATTAGAGATCCTAAAGAGAAGCCAGAATGAAATACTAGAACTGAAAAACTCAATTGACCATATAAAAAACACCGTGGAATCCCTCAGATCGAACAGATGAAATAGAAGACCAAATATCAGAATTCAAAGACAAACTTCCAGAAATAATACAGTCAGTTCAAACACAGGAAGAAGAAATTAAAAAATTAAAAAATACGGTCGGAGACCTACAAGATTCAATCAAACGGTGTAATGTTCGGATAATAGGAGTCCCTGAGGAGGTGGAAAGAGAGAACGGATTGGAAGGTGTCTTCAACGAAATAATATCAGAAAACTTCAAACAAAGGCAGCTGGATAACAACACACAAATACAACAGATATCCAGGACTCCGAACAGAGTAGACCAGAAGAGAAATTCACCACGACACACTGTGGCAACACTCAGCTCAGTGACACACAAAGAACAAATCCTAAAATGTGCCAGAGAAAAGCGACAAATCACATTCAGGGGTAAGTCAATCAGACTCACCCCAGACTTCTCATCGCAAACACTACAGGCAAGGAGACAATGGCATGATATATTTCAAGTTTTAAAAGACAAACAATGCCAACCTAGAATACTATACCCTGCAAAGCTATCATTTATGAATGAAGGGGAAATAAAGATCTTCCACGACAAACAGAAACTGAAAGAATTTGTATCCACGTGTCCAACCCTACAACACTTGCTCAAAGACGTGCTGCACACAGAAATACAAAAACAAGAACTTTACTACAAAAAAAAGCAAATGTAGAGTAACCCACAAACAAAGTTCAAAATACATAAACAGCTCGTTTCAGGAAACATGAATGGGAAAAGACAGTACTTAACAGTAATCACACTGAATGTGAATGGTCTTAATTCCACTACGAAGAGACATAGACTAGCTGATTGGATCAAGAAAGAGAATCCATCTATATGCTGCCTTCAGGAGACACACCTTATCAGCAAAGATGCACGCAGACTGAAAGTGAAAGGATGGAAAAAGATACTCCAAGCTAACGGAAATCAAAACAGAGCTGGTGTGGCCATCCTAATATCAGACAAAATAGACTTTAACATAAAAACTATTAAAAGAGACAGAGAAGGGCACTATATAATGATTAAAGGATTTATCCAACAGGAAGACATTACTATTATAAATGTATACGCACCTAATTACAGGGCGCCTGGCTACCTGAAAGAATTACTAAAGGATTTAAAGGGAGATATAGACTCAAATACAAGAGTAACAGGGGACTTCAACACCCCACTCTCACCAATGGACAGATCAACCAGACAGAAATTCAACAAGGAAACAACAGAGCTAATTGACGCCATAGACCAAATAGACCTAATAGATATCTTCAGAACCTTCCACCCCACAGACACAGAGTTCACGTATTTCTCCCCAGTACATGGAGCATTCTCTAGGATTGACCATATGCTAGGCCATAAAGGGCGCCTCAACAAATTCAAAAAAATTGAAACTATACCATGCAGCTTCTCAGACCATAGAGCAGTGAAACTCAAAATCAACAACCCAAGAATCTCTACACCATATGCAAATATATGGAGAATGAACAACATGATCCTAAATGAACAGTGGGTCATCAAAGAAATTAAAAGAGAAATCAAAAGATTTCTAGAAACAAAGGAAAATGATAACACAACCTATTAAAACCTGTGGGACACAGCAAAAGCAGTGCTAAGAGGAAAGTTTATAGCAATT